CCAATTTATTTATTTTTATGTTCAGGTTAAGTTAGGCGGGTTATGTGTAGAAGCAGATACTAGCTGAAAGGGTAGTTGGAGAAATTTGACTCTGAGGTTCCTCAAGTTTCAGACTTATCTTTGGGGGCGATCTGATCTTGGAATATGATGATGTTTGATGAGATGAGTATTTGTGGAGATATGGATTTCTTATGTGCTTCCCTTGGGGGAAAAGATGTGGCGGTAGGACATACGGAAGCGGAGGTTGCAGTAGAGGACGATTATACTGATGAAGAGGTTGATGTTGATGAACTTGAGAGGAGGTTGTGGAGGGACAAAATGCGACTCAAACAGCTTAAGGAACAGCATAAGGGCAAGGAGGGGATCGATATCGCCAGACAGCGTCAGTCCCAAGAACAAGCGAGGAGAAAGAAGATGTCGAGGGCACAGGATGGGATATTAAAGTACATGTTGAAGATGATGGAGGTTTGCAAGGCTCAAGGTTTTGTTTATGGGATTATTCCTGAAAAGGGAAAGCCGGTTACTGGAGCATCTGACAATCTTCGAGAATGGTGGAAGGATAAAGTCCGGTTTGATCGTAATGGTCCTGCTGCTATTGCGAAGTACCAGGCAGATAATTCGATTCCTGGCAAGAATGATGGCTGTAACTCCATCGGCCCGATGCCGCACTCCTTACTAGAACTTCAAGATACAACGCTTGGTTCTCTTTTGTCTGCACTGATGCAACATTGTGATCCCCCTCAGAGACGATTTCCTTTAGAGAAAGGTGTTCCCCCACCATGGTGGCCTACTGGCAATGAGGAATGGTGGCCACAGCTTGGATTGTCCAATGATCAAGGGCCTCCTCCTTATAAGAAACCTCATGACTTGAAGAAAGTTTGGAAAGTTGGGGTTCTCACAGCAGTAATCAAGCATATGTCTCCTGATATTACCAAGATTCACAAGCTTGTAAGGCAGTCTAAGTGCTTGCAGGACAAGATGACGGCAAAGGAGAGTGCAACATGGCTTGCTATCATTAACCAGGAGGAGGCTTTGGCTCGGGAGCTTTACCCTGATTCCTACCTACCTCTGTCCTCAGGTGGCGGAAGTGGCACCATTTTTATAAATGACTGCAGTGAGTATGATGTTGCAGGGGCTGAAGTTGTGCCAAACTTTGACGTGCAAGAGCTTAAACCCGGGAATCTCAATGCATCTAATTTGGGTATGGATACAATGAGCACCGTTCAACAACAGTCATATCCTATCAAGGGAGCCGTCAATAATTTGGATTTCATGCGAAAGAGGAAACCATCCAATGATTTTAACATGGTGGAACACAAGATCTACACTTGTGAATTCCTACAGTGCCCTTATAGTGAACTTCGCTTGGGCTTTCATGACAGGATTGCCAGGGACAACCATCAATTAACTTGTACACACAGAAACGCTTCTGCACATTTTGGTGGTTCAAATTTTAACGTCAATGAAGTGAAACCGGTGATTTTCCCTCAACCTTTAGCACCGTCCAAGCCAACTGCACCATCCAAGCCAACTGTTACAACACCCTATGGCCTATCAGGACTTGGAGTTCCGGAAGATGGGCAGAAAATGATAACTGAGCTCATGTCAATGTATGATAACAACATTCAGGGTAACAAGAACATGAATCCAGGAAACAATCCAGTTACTGAAGGTCAAAATCTCCATCACCCGAAAATGCAACAACAACAGGGTGAATTCTTCGGCGGTCGAGGAGTCATGATGGATGGAAATTTCTTTGAGGAGTCCAGCATGCCAAGTAACCACCAGATATTTTCGCAAGGGGAAGGCCAATTTGACCGTTTTAAGGCGATGAATTCTCCGTTTGAGGCCAACCACAATAACAGCAGCTTCCAGTTGATGTTTGGTTCTCCATTCGATTTGGCTTCTTTCGATTACAAGGAAGATCTACAAGCAGTTGGGGTGGATATCATGCCAAAGCAGGATGTTCCGATCTGGTTTTGAGCACTAGCTAAAACCCTTCTATTTTTACTTGGTTATTGTATTTTTCTTCATGCTTGTAGCTGGTATAAACTATAGCAAGTTTAGCAGGTCTTCATATGGGCTTTCAATAAAAACAAAAAGTCCCATAATCCCGCTACTGATTTAATAGAATGTTACTGTCTCATAAATAAGTTTTATGTATTGTCCCAATGCTTCCGTTTTCACTTTTTGTTTGAACTTGTTATCAGTTTCTACCATTATCATGTTTTGTGGGAATCTGTGTGTGTTTTTATCCTGTAATGGGAACATAGTCGACAGATTGCGTTGAATGGAAGCTGTTGTCCTTTAATGCAATCTTATCCTGTTGTTGTGCATCCCATGTGAACTTCAGATCCCACACTAGTTAATGCAATGAAGATGGTTTAAGATTCACTCGGATCCTGTCCTTGGTGGGAGATGGGAATGGAACTAGTCTGGTTTTGTGCCAAGTGTGCGAGTGTTTGGTAGTGTGGTCACCTTTCTTTGTCACCTTTCAAAGTTTGGAACTTATCATTTCGATGGTCCCCATTTATGAAAAAAATAAATAATAAAAGCCAGGCAATAAAGTAGTTCATTTCCACCCAAAGGATAAAAAGAAATAAAGGGAAAAGGATAATGATTTAAACCTTGTTGGCACCAGTGTTGTGTTACTTTCATTGTTGGGTTTATATATATATATATATATATATATATATATATATATAATGCAGATGAGGTTTTATCTGCAAAATTCATCTCCCCTTTCTATGTTTTGGGTCCTTCCTTGCGTGCAAAGAAAATACATAACTAGATCACATGGGCAGGGTATTTGGCTAAGGTATAATTTTATTTACTCAATCCAGAAAGCAGTTTCATTTTAATATAACTTTGAGAGAGAGATGTAAAGACTTCATCTTTCATATAAATATACAATAATTAACTTCTTTACAATATAAATTGCAGGATTATAAGTGGATTGTGCTGGAGGAGACTTCCGCTTTAAGTATTTAATTTGACATATCTGTAGATAAATCAACGCTGAGCATGAAAATAAAGAAGGTGAATTGCAGGTGAAAACAAAATTCGAACGAGGTTGATAATTCGTTGAAGAAAAACAAGGAAAGAAGGGGATTCCAATTTTAGTAGTGAATGTTGTCAGATATTATACATTTTGTCTTAAATTATAATTAGTTTACCAAATGGTTATCTAGGTTTTTTTGTGCATTCAAGATAAGATTGCAGTTCAAATATTGAACTTTTTACCTTAGATATTGAACATTCAAGATAAAATTGCAATTATAGGGAAATTATACATGATGCATTGATTCTTTTTGTTGACTAATAGTTTTTTTTTATTAAGCTAAGTTGATTACAAAGTAATATATGTTTTAAATATTCTCAACTACTTAGACAATAAACGCTCAATCACCTTGGTGCAGTCACTGGTGCTCGAACCCGCGATCTCTAAGAACACAAACGATTCCTTTAATCACTAAAGTAAGTTAATTCGTACAAATCCAATAATTCTAAAAGCCGAGGAAACATGATAACTGCGATTTTTTTATTGAAAGAAAATCACAAATAATTTAAAAGTAAAATTACTATATTCATATTATCAGCTAAGTTTTCAGTCTTTTTGATTGAGGCAAGATAATGAGATTTTGTTGTAACTGCAAAATGCCAATTTGCCAATAATAGAAAAAGGCATGGAAAAAACTAAAGCGTTTCAATGTATTTTTCACGGGGTCTGATTATTATAAGCTGACAGATTTGTACTGTGATTGGTTATTCATATGTAACACGTTTTAAAAATTGTTGTTATATATTAATCAATCTAACTTTTTCTTATTTAATTTTATTTAATCGATATCGACACCGATTTTAATGTAGGCACTCGCTAGTTATATTTTTTTTAATTTTAGTAAGAATAATTATACATTTATAACATGTTATTTATCTTTATAATATGTTTATCTCTGTCTTTTGGTAGCTTATAGTTTTTTGCCATTGTTTACGATTTTTGACCGTTGTTTTTGTTTATCTTTTTTCTCAGGGTTTGATTTGACATTGTCACAACTGATCAAGATGACGCTTATTTATTATCATAATGATCTTCCCTGCTTTGGACCCCCGGATTGATATGGATACGTGTTTTACGTTCGTGGATAATTTTCTCACGTCGCTCGACTCTGATTTACGATTTATCGGTAATCTTTCAGTAGCTTCATCCATTTTTATGGTTTGTTTACCGATGCAGTCAAATTTATTCCTATTTTTATTTTATTCGAGTTTTTTTGTTAGATTTTTTAACATTTTCTTTATTTGGTCTTTATGTGATCTAGATGACTAATTTTTGTCTTAATGGTAATAGAAAAATGTCATAACTATACTTTAAGTTTATGATTATAAATATTCATTGTAATTTTGAATATTTTTTATTTTTAATAAAACTAACGACTTTATATAAAAAAATATTGTTATATGATATACTTCATTTATCCCATTAAATTTGTCTTTTTTATTTTAAAATTGTTATATTTAAAATTTTCATTTGAAAAAAATCAACAAATTCTACTAAACACGTTTCCTTTTGTATCTTTTTTTCGATAATACTGAGAAAGCAGGTACAGGTTATATAAGCCTATTCATTATCCATCAAAGCAGCCACCTCCATAGGAGGCTCGTTGAACAATTACACGCTAATTGGATTCCTTTTCACCATTTTAGCAAGATTATCAGCTACCATGTTAGCCTCCCAGTAAATATGTCGCAGCCGAACGTCCCGTATCTGTCCATTAATTCACGGATCCTCAAAACAATTGCACTAGCTATCATATCTTGCTTATTACCTGTGATCGCTTCAATCGCCAAGTTGCAGTCCCACTCCATTTCAATCTTTCTCACGCCAAGATTCTAAGCTAACTCCATGGTGTCGTGGATAACTCAAAACTCTGCATTTAGGACGGAGCACACTCCTAAGCTTCGGGAAAATCCGACAATCCATCCAACATCCGATCCTCTTAGAGCCCACCTGCAGTAGCCATTTTGGACAAGCAATCCATGGCTCCATCAGAATTTCCTTTAACCCACCCGACAGGAGGCTTCTGCCACCAGGTTACTTGCCTTTGTAGTCTATGATGCCCATCTTCATTACCTCGAGAAGCAATGATCTCATTTTTGAGCTGAAAACATTCCAGCAGCAGGTTTACCTTGTCCACGTTGTTTGGTTGGAGAAGAATACTACACCGTCTCTTCCAAATCTTCCAACAAATTACAGCAAAAAGAACTTCCCAATGTCTATATTTATGGGGAAGTTTCCTTGGCCCCTCAAATTCGCAAGAATCCAATCACGAACCGGCATGTGATAAAGGCTTGGAACCTATCCATAGTAATCAGTCGGCGCCATATATTCCGAGCGCGCGTGCAGCAACGGAGCACGTCACTTACATCTTCAACCTCGTTGTGACAAAGCTCGCAACTATTAGATGTAGCCATATGCCTCATGAATCTTTCATCATTCGTTAATAGTCTTCCATGAACAACTAACCACAAGAATGTTCGAATTCGCTGCAGAACATTCAGCGACCAAACATTGCTCCAATGTACCCCATTATCGTTTGGCATCGACGAAAGCAGTACCTTATACACCGATCTAATCGTAAAGTTGTGATTCAGCTCCCATCTCCAACCTGGTTTTTCTTCGCCAAATGCCGAATTGGGAGGGCAGACATCAGCAATTTTATAACAAATATGTTCCGGAACAAGCTGTTCTATTCGGTTCAAGTCCCGATTACCTGAATCCGTGACCAAGGAGCTGATCGGCATAACCGGCGGACTAGCACTAATTATGCTATGATGAATCAATGCTCTGTATAATCCAACCATATATCATTCCAAAAGTCAATGCGATTTCCGTTTCTAACTGTCCAAAAAATGCTTTGTTGGATATCCCCCCAAACACATTTCAATCCGTTCCAGAGTCGGGAGCATCACCTTCGTCTAGTCATCATAAGGCCATCATTCGTAAGATAGAATGCCAAACATCGTGCATTTATGTAATTTGATATGATCAACTTCTCGTGCTCCTTGGGACCCCAATAATAACCCTGAAGAGAAACTAAATTTGGGTGTTTGATGTAGCCGAGTTTCTTCACTTCCCTTGCGAATTCCTTTTTACCTTTTGCTATCCCTTCCTTCAACCATTTGGTAGCCAATACATTACCAGAGTCAAGTGTAGCTTTATACAATGTCCCGTGGCAACTCCTTCCAATAATTTCAGCTGGAACACGTGAAAGTCCCTCTGCAGACAATGCCAGAGATCCGTCAAAGAGATGCAGATTCCTAGTTAGTTTAACAGGGGAACGAATATTTAGTGAACTCGAACCCTCAAATGGAAATTGGTCTTTTGAAGGAGATGCATTTGAAGATGACAAGATAGACAAGGGTGAAGCCAATCCTTTATCTCATCTCACGTACTCGAGGTGACCGAGATATTTACGGTCATTTAAGACGAATGAACTATTTCCATGATCATGTGAAGAACCCTTTTTGGTTGATGACAAAAGCTCTTGACGGAAACTAAATGAAGACGACGATGAACCATTGCTTGTGGAAGGAGCTGATGTATAAGAATGGGAATACTCTCCTTGAGGTACGGCTTTTTTGCAGTTGTTTCCTTTCATAGCCTCGCTCGTAGTTTCCTGCCAGTTGTTCCTATAATAAATCATTACACACACAAGAGCTGCTACAGCAGCAGCACAACCAAGCCTACAATCAAGGCAACTCTGGTGACAGGTTTCAGCTGAGATCTGTGAGCATTCAAATTCAGGTTGGAAGAACCTATTGGTGACAGTGGAAAGGAACCAAATTTCAATAGAGTTTCCAGGATGGAATGATGAATTGGGAAATCCCCTCAAGTTGTCCGGTACAGTACCGGAGAAATTATTAAAAGACACATTGAATCCTTTCAGTTCAATAGGAAGACTATCAGGGATGCTGCCCTCGAGTTTGTTGTTGGATGGGTTAAAAACCTCCAAGCTATGGAACTTGGCGATTTCTGGGGACAAGCTGCCTGTTAACGGGTTATTAGACAGATCAAGAGTCACCAGGCTCAAATTTTTGGCAGAACTTACCAAAGGCATGTTCTTTATTTCCTGAAGAGGCATTGAACCAGTAAAGTTATTGCCTGAGAGATTGAGATCAGTCAATTTAGTTGACATGAAGAAGCTCGGAAGGAGAGATCCATTAAGACGGTTGAGGCTAAGATCAACGACCTTTAATTCTGGGCATGTACCTAAAATTTCAGGGAGAACACCCTGCAATGTGTTGTTTGATACCTTGAATGTATTCAGCCTAAAAAACTGAGAAGTTTGGTTCGGCAAGGTCCCGTTCAGTGAGTTTGAACTCAATTCAATAACTTCTACATAATTCCCCCAACCTTGGATTCTAGACAAGTCCCCTGAAAGCTTGTTATTACTGAACCAAAAGTAATCGGAGTATGGAATCTCAAAGAACCAACAGTGAACTACACATCCTACATCGATAAGAAGGACCTACTAACTGGAGTACTGGACATACCATACATGTAAAATAATTTTGGATAAGGGAAACAGTGTAAAAGGAAAACATCCAAGATTGCTTAACAGCATATTTTAAACTATTAGATAAATAATATGAAATATGCTTATTGTCATGTTGCAGAGCTACCATGTTTCTCTCATGATCCAATTTGGGAAGCCAGAAAAACAACAACATATTTTCTACCTCGTGTTAGTTCAAGATATGGATACTACGATACTTCCCAAAAGCTGGAAGAAAAGAAAAGGGAGCATCTTATATTGTCAAAGGAGCAAATGCTATAGGTAAAGAGGCATCATGCGACGCTCCAAGAATGTGCACTTAACTTAATTAGCAAGGCAGGGTAAAATTTATAATATAAAGCAAACCAGGATTGAATAGCACCATACACATTGACAGATACAATTGCTCACTGAAGTAATGGAATAAAGAGAAAATAAACGAACATGACATAGGCTGTTAAAAAGGGGATACCTTCAAGTTGATTAAGGCTGAGATCGAGTTCGGATAAGATCATGGAGCTTTCTTGCAAAAGAGCTTAGTGTAGTGATCCCGACAACTAAATTGTTCCCCAACCAAAGAATACTCAAAGAGACTATAAAACTGAAAGAAGGTATAGTTCCCACTAACTGATTATTACTAGCATTCAAAACTTCTAAACTGTCGAAAGATGGCATTCCATCATGAGCAAAGAGCTCTCCAGCCACCAAATTCCTTCTTATAATTAAATACCGAATCGAGGAAATAAAACTGGAGCTTCCAAGTCCCAAGTCCAGTGAACCAGATAACTGATTGCTGCTCAAGTCCACATGCAATGCACTTTCCAATTGGGATAAAAGGTTCATGATATCCCCAGAAAACCCATTAGATCTAAAATCTAAATATTTCAACCTCTTAATGTAGCTAAATCCAGGAGGAAATGTGCCTTCAAAACTATTTGAAGAAAGATTCAGCAGAACCAAGTCTTTTAAATTGGCAATGCCTGATGGTATAGCCCCATGAAAGGCATTAACCGAGAGGTCCAAAAACTCGAGAGACTGAATCAAGCCGATGTTCAAGATGGTTCCCATCAACTGGTTGTTTGAAATGGATAAATTTCTAAGCAACTTAAGACCAACAATGATATGGAAACTGAAGTTTCCAACCAAACCCAAGTCATTTAGAGTGATTGAAGTCACATGGCCTTCATTACAGGTGATGTCAAACCAATTCTTGGGACACCCATCAGATGTCAAGGACTTAGAGTCCCATGAATCAAAAACTTTACCAGAAGGCAGGCGACCGTGATTTCGGCCGCGATATAGCGGTTTCGCCGCCGTCCGAGTTACCCGCGACGACTACAATCACGGTAAATCCGAAATAACCGAAAACGCGACCACGATTTGAAACCCTGCCAGAAGGGTCTTTCTCTATGCCTTTCTTGAGCTCTAAAAGTGCTTCAAATCAGACTGTGCTAATGCAGTCACTAATAGGAACAATAAATATACAAAATTGAATCTCTGCATTCCTTCAAACAAAGTCCCCAAGCTCCTACCTCCACAAACCTCAGTGAATATATCAGAATGGAACAAGAGAAATAGAGAGCTTCTACAGCAAGTTGCAATGCTGGAATGAGCTTAAAGACTACACATATATGTAGTTTCAGACTGTGAAAGAATTCGACTACATTAACAATGGGATACTTACAAAAGCCATAGATGCTTCCTTTTGAAACTAATCTAAGGGGCCAATTAATGAACTTCATAACCCATGTCCATTGAGATAAACTGAAACCCAAACCAAGTGTAACAAGCTCCAAAACACCAGAAATATATTAAAAAAAAGACTTACATCACACAAAGTAGCTGAGCCTGAGAGTGAGAAGGGAAACGATAATGCCTGGCAACAAGGGAAGAAGAGACAAACCGTGGAAAAGGGGTAGCTAAAAGCCTAAAAGTAAGAATCTTGAACCTTAAATGACTTAGGAAGTTGCAAGGGAAGTACACCAAAATGTAGTGAAATGGGAAGTTATATTAAGTAAAGAGAAGGCTAAAGATGCAGGGAAAGATCAGTGAGCTAGGGGAGAAAAGCCATGTTAAAGAGTGAGATAAAGGAGGGGAGATAAGGGAGCGTGTGTGCGTGTGGGAACAAAATGTGTTAGGTGGTCTGGTTTTCAATGTGGTCGTAAATTGCAGACACATTTAATGAACACTAAAGAAGTAAGAAAGAACAATGATTTGTGCTTCTGGCTGTTGAATAGTTTTTAAAATCAGATAATTGATTAATTGAATTTCTTTTATCATAAATTTATTGAAATGAAACATGCAATGAATTGATGAACTAAATAGCCGGTCGAGTTGGTGGTGCCTTGTTGTTTGATTTTGACCTAGGAAAGTTTTTTTGATTAATCCCAGACATTTTTTCTTTGGTTTTTTATGCAGGTGAAATATTTTACCACTAGCTTTTCTAGCTTAGCTTTCACCAAAGAATCTTCCATTTAATTTTGATCCCCCATTAATGATCCGTATATTTATCACTACTTTTTTCGGATTTTATCCATTAATTTATCAAAAACCCATTCAAGTTTTTCCAAAAACCGAATCACTTTAAAGAAATTTAAGGCCCAAATAAAGAAATGATGTGAACCTAACACAACTATAGAGAGTTAATATAAAACCAAATATTTTATTATTAAAGTGATAATTGTCCAGTCTGGGGCAAAACAAGTAGAAAATGGCAAACAAAGTTAGGAAACATAAAAAAAATGCCAAGTTATAAGACAAACATCACACTTTCTTAGTTACTTAGATAACTAGCTGTTGAACTTCAAGACAAAAGTGATGGGCAGAAGAAACCGTGTCCCTTTAGATGGATCTGATTTATACAATAGCTTAGGGATAACATAGATAATTTGAGAACCAGTGGCCAAGCTTCGGGATCAAATTCCCTTCCCCGGCCTTGACCAAAAAACAATAAGGGTAAAAAAGGAATAACAACAATTCATTGTATCTCCAGATCATTCAATTCAGATTACCATTGCCGGCAAAGTGGCCATACTATAAACATAGACAAGACTTGCTAGCAAGAAGAGAACATTCTTGTAATCCACTTGAGGCACAATGATGGTTTAAATTGGATGATGCCATACTCTAACCAAAAACATAAGCTTGCAGGATGTTGCCGTCAAAGACCAATGATTTTCCTGTGCACGTGATGTCCATGCAAGCCTTCGCCTCCATCATGATCGTGAAAAATGAGTGTTAAGATCCCTACCAAGCATAGAACTGAACCCACAAGAACTTTGTCGTATCGCTCCACCCAATGGAACTTGAGTTGGCTAGCACCGTAGAAGGATAAAGCCACCAGGGAGGTCATCACTGCTATGGTGCTGCAAAGGCAACGCCAACATCAGTTAGCCATGTGAGTAAAACCTAGCTTATAGCAGACCATGCCATCTATACATTATCTTGTCTGATTAACCAAAACCTAATTATACCCGTAGATTATCGACATTCAATATATCTCTGGTGAAACACAGACAAGGGCTAGTGAATTCTTACATGAAAACCATTTTTATTTGACCCAACTTAAATCAGCTCCTCATAATATTAAAATCTTATGCAAAAAACGCTATATAGTTACCAATTAATGTTAAGAATTTCAATGTAGATTATATAGGTTGAAACTAGAGTCAGTTGTAGAAAATTATTGCAGAAAGAGTAAAGTATAATGTGAACATCTCAGGTCCACGAAAAATGGTGGATGCTACTGAAAAATACAAAAATCATTCAAACTGTTTTCAAGAAACAAAGTAACCGTTTTAGATATCTTCCACGAATTCTTTAAATAGCACAGATCAGCCTCTATCCCCGTGCCCTTATGTATTCTAAGTTTCTGCTAAACATATTAATATGATCAAAACTATCTTCATTTGCTAATTTACCTTAAAAAAGATTAAAATTAATATGCATGATGAAGATATACATCAAAACTAACCAGACGGTACTAACACCAGTTTATGGATAACTGACAATGCTATATAAGCATTGGAAACACACGAAAACAAGCTCTCTTTAGATTACCACCATTACCAAATGCAAACTAAATTTATATACAAAAATCAAATTTAATAAACAATTCAAAAAATAAAAAGAAAAAATTAGAATCCTTTGTCATGTATACCTGAATAGCAGCACTATGATGGCAAGTATCATCATCGAAGACGAATTTCCGACAGCTAGAAACACAGGGAGGGTGGTTGCACAAGGAGACAACGCCGGAACAAGGACAAGGCCAGCTACGGCCATTTTCTCCATGGGTTGGTTATGAGAATGACTATGTCCACCCTTACCAGACAAAAACAACAGTATATAGCTACCACCAAGAACTATGAGCAAAATTGAAGCAAGTTTATGCACTGTTTCTTCACCAGCGATTGTGTTTGCCATAGTTATGGCTGCTATACCTAGAATCGAAGTGGATATTACATGCAGAACTGCTCCAAATGCGGCTGCGCATAAACAATAATACAAAGATAAAGAAGAACGATCAAAGCAATGCCAAGAGATTAAACGTCCAACTGGATTTGGTTCCCTTATGTCTAACTATCTGCAACAAAATATCTTAGTTTTGCTCAAATTAAAGAAACCCAGAGCAAATCCACTACAAATCAACATATTAGAATCAATTGTGATATTTAAGCATGGTAAAATTATGATCACAAGAACTAAAGAAATGACAAATTTCCCACCGTAAATAAAGTGTGTGGGTGTGTTTTAAATCTGGGTACAAGCATATCCAAATTAGAGATCTAAAAGCAAATACAGTGAGATGAAGGGAGCTTACTGACGAAAAGGGTACGAGAAAGGGTCCATTTTTGGGCACGGCCGACGATAGAGAATGGAAGCCAATGGGTAGGAATGAAAGAATGAAGAAGAGACACAGTCGCTATGCCGCCTATGGTTGACAGATCTTCAGCGCTGAAACTCTCCATGAATGATTTTGTATCAGCGTGAACGGAGATTAAGAATTTGGGATTCCCTGGGGATAAATTTGATTCAAAGAATACTTTTATATATTACCTTGGTAGTTGTGTATTATTTTTCTTTTTTGGGTGGAAAAACGATGGAGGGATAAATGGGTTGTTTTGGTGTTAGCTGAACCTTATGAGAAAGAGATCTGAAAATGAAATGAAATTAGGTAATACAATACCAGAAGAACGAACGATAGGTTTTGCAACAGTTTCTTCAAATTTTCCATTAAAATATAATCGATTTTTCATTTTACAGTAAAAAAAGGGAGTTTTTTTAGTAATCATGTTAAATATGATATATATATATATGTTTAAATATAATTTTTAATTATTTAATATTAAACGTTTATACTGTATTATTCTTGATACCCATACCAAAATCAAAATAATTACCGTTCTTTTATCATCAAAATTATTTGGTTTGTGTTAATGAAAAATGATTTTTTTATTAATAGTAAAAAAAAAGGAACTTGTTTTCACGTTAAGGGGGAAGACGAACACGTGAGATTGTTTACAAAGATATTTTCATATTATTTTTATTTTCAAACAAAATTTTCAGTATTTACTTTTAAAAAAGATTAAGGAAATATATGTTTATTAAATAAAAATATATTTCAGCAACAATATTTAATTATAAATATTCTTATAACAAATAAAATAAAATAAAATACTTTTTTATATGTATGTAAAATTGAACTAAGATAAAAAATGTATATTTAAATTTTTTTATAAGAATAAAATTATCGAAAGATTCGATTTATTAAAATCCGGTCTAAGAACAAGAATTTGTAGTGAAAATAAAAATCTCAGAAGATATAAAAAATATTTTATTATAAAGATTTAAATTTAAATCAGTTCATTAGGCTAAAACTTGAAAGTCATTTTAAAATGTCCTCTATTCCTTTAAACTCCATTCCCTTTCATTGTGTTTGATGTAATTTCTGAATTCGTTTAAAGTCAGTCAATTATAGTTAGAAAGCATTCCGATGTGATACCTCCGTCCCGTATCTTTACTGTATTAAGAATCTACTCCAAAAAAAAAAAAAATCATATGAGATGATTTTAAAAGAAATCCATCAAAAAAAATACTAACACATGGGAGCTGTCCCACATCGAACACTACAATGAAAGGAATTTCAGAATAACTTCTCTTTAACATCAACAATGTTTCCAGATACTCAAAAATAGAAACTATCAGAACAAAGCCTGTGAAGATGAGTTCTTCCCCCTACAGCTTAGTGATCACCGCTCACCAGGCATGCTCTTAATGATATCAGAGTCACCTGAAAAACACAATCGATATTTACCACGATCGGAACTTTAGACGGATGCAAAGTAGGGAAATCCAAAATGTTAAAAAGCGTCGTTATATATACCAGGGTCGACAATGCTAAGGAAGCACACTCTGAAATATTTGCCACAAGCAGTGCCCAAGTCTACGTTATCTGCGAAAAAAGAAAAAGAAAAAAGAGCACACGCATTTACTCATATTGTTGAATACTCTTTAGAATTTGAAGCAACAAAATCATCACTTCATGAGACATGAACGGATGAATAAGGTATGTAAGATACTACGAAGATAAGGAACACAAGAAATGGATCACGCCGGTTTGGTCCCTTCTTTAAAGGGCTTTGGCATGAAGATTTTTTGTTAGTTGCTCATCTTAAAATTATCAGAAATATCTTCAAATGCAAGACTTAAGAGAATAACTAAAGAATAGAATGATACACAGTGAACGAGCTTTAAGTTATTCAATATATTTAGGAGGTGCTTGTCGAATATTGGTTGTACTGATGCCGGAGCAAGATATAGCTGAACTAATTAGCTGATCTTATCGAAAATCTGCTTTGTTTAATGTTGATACAGAAATCACTCCCATATACAAGTATTCAAATCATGACACAAATAAGTATTCAAGTATGTAGCTGCAAGAGCGAGATAGGTTAAGGAACATACTTCCATTGTAGTGGTGAACTCCAACCTTGCACAACATTGCATAATACTCGATCTCCGACTTTCTAAGAGGAGGGCAATTGTTGGCAATGATAATCAACTTACCTAAAAAGCATTATAATTTATATATGAATATCCATCTTCCAAAGCTAAATCGATCAACATCAGAAATGCAGCAATCAAATAATAAAAATAATCTTAAAAAATCTCTCATGCCATCCATGTTATACACTAATTTAACCAAGATGAAATCCATTCAACTTCACTTCACCATGAAAAAATAAAAATCCCATCATTTGGAGTTGTTCGATACTGTCAATCAGAAAGCTCCATGGTTTAGAAACCGTAAATCACTGTGCAGCGCTGTCCAATACCTTGGAGTTTCTGAGAGATTTGAGGACGGTTTTGTAACCCAATGTGTATTTTCCACTCTTCATAACGAGAGTCAATCTGTTGTTGATGCTCTCATGAGTCTTCTTCTGCATTTCATCAAACACCGCAATAAATCTACTGGTTAGCATGTTTTCAAAAAATTACTCATAAGAGTAGAAAATTAAAACGAAAAAAAATAGAGATGGGATTTTACGGTCTTCTTGGTGGCAACCATTTTCGACGACGGAAGAGCTTCGGTGAGACGGGGGCGGGGAGTGAATGCGGCAGCCACAAATGGCTCACCACAACATGGTAAGAAACCCTAAAACCTAAACAAATTTATCGATGCCCGACTTTAGGTTTTTAGGGTTAGGCCAACCCAAAGTTACCATTTATGGCCCAAAATAAATTTCAATTAAAATATATAACAATTTATAAAAATTTGCTACGTATAATTTTACTGTAATATTTTTGAAAATATTATTCTACTTTTTTGTAATTTATTGTACTTTCAATTAGATTTTATAGTGAAAATAAAAAATACAATCAAACTAAAATCATAGAAAATTAATTCTGATATTATCAATTAAAAAGGAATGAAATTAAAGATATAATATGATTAATAAATAATTTTTTTAAATTAAACAGACGATATTATTTTTTTTCATTTAGATCTCTAAATTTTATTTTTTTATACTTATATTTTAAATATCAATATAATTTAAATATATTCCTTAATTAATCAAAAAAATATTCCTTATACTCATCAGTTTATTTTATTTTATTATATAATTAAATTTTAAAACATTTTATTTTAGTTCAGATAATTTCCTTTAATTTTACCTTAAAAATATAAAATAAAATTATCCACTATCTAATAATAATTTTACCAAAATCCATTTTTATTAAAAACCACTTCAATATCTACTGTAATATTCATATAAACATTTTTATAAACGCAATATTTCACCTTAATTAAAACCAATATAATGGAATAATAGAGACCAAACTCAGTTCCAATAAGCTAAGGCGGTTATAACTGCTTTTTGCTACTCCTCCGTGACTCCGCTCGGCGCTCGGTGCTCGATCTTCACTATCCGAAGAAGTCATTTTAACAAAACCTTTTCCATTTCCTTTATCTATCTTTCTAGGGTTTTGTTTTACCTCCCGTCATGACGGAAGTCATAAATATGCCGGGAGATTCATTTGACCGCCGTCGCAGTGGCAACCGTAAGGACAGCAATAGTAACAACAAACAGCCCCCATCATCTGATGATCCCAACTCCTCTGCTGCATCGCCGCCTCCACCAGGAAGGCGCGACCGAGACTCGCGTGAGCAACGGGAACGCGACTACTTCGATCGCAATCGCAATCGCTCTCCTCCACCTCCACCTCCACCTCCACCTCCCAGGGAGAGAAACTACAGGCGGCGCAGCAGCATTAGCCCTCCGCCATCACCATTGAGTTATCGGGATAGGAGGCACTCGCCTCCTCCGCGGAGGTCACCGCCTCATAAGAGGTCTAGGCGTGAGGATGGAGGATATGAAGGGAGAAGAAGGAGCCCTAGAGGAAGATTTGGACCTGGAGATAGAAAGTAATCTTTCATTTTAATTTTAGATTTAGCCTCGATTTGACTGTAAAATAATAGAGCTTAATTTAGCTTAGCTATAAAGCATTTGAACTATTGCTTTTAACAGTCTTTGGTATTTTCTTGTGCTTAATGTTATGAAGTCTTATGAACTTATTTCTGACACAGACTTTTCATTTTCTATAATGTTATCTGAGAGGGATCATCAGTTCAGTTTCTTTGTGTAGCTTTGTATGCAGTAGTATATCTTACGTATATGACTATACAATTCAATATTTTGACTCTGGAATTCTGCCCATGTCCGTATACTAGTTGCCATCAGTTAGGAGGAATTCATAAATGATAATTTACACTTGGCAGTTTTAGTTATATTCAGATTTTGCTCATGCTGTAAAACAATTCTTATGGTGTAGGTTTGGGTATGACTACGGTGGTGGATATGATAGTGAGATGACGGGAAGACCTCGTGGTTGGTACTCAGGTCGCTCTTCCGGTGGCTATCAAGGTGATTCTTTCTTGAAATTGCTTAAAAATTTTAAAGTTTCCTCTAACTTAAATTATTGCACTTGCAGCACTTTTGATATGACCATTTTGTATTTTATGCCTCCCTCATGTTATGTTATTATTATAATTTAAAAGGTTACATGACAATTATTGACTGTCATCTTGTACTTAATTTTTCAGTTTCAGTTGTTAATATAAAATCTTGATTGATTATTATTAGTATTAATAATGGGGATAATTAACTTTTAAATATAATTCTTTTTTGAAGCTAGCAAATGCTTCTTGTATGGAAAGCTTGTTTTCATGTGGTGAGTTATGAATTTACTATAATTGTAGATTGAGAATGGGCAAAACTAAAAACTGGTCTTTTGCATTCAGGTTTGCTTTATTGCTTTTCTTGGATTGCAGTGTCGGTTTGGAATGTATTGAAATACATATCATCAAAGTAATGTTGGGCATCTATGAAATGATGCATACATGCAGTTAATGATGACTCTATGATGAGTACATTGTTCTTTATGACGTTCTGATGTTGCATCATTGTATAATACAGCGGCAACAAACCTTTTACCCATCTTTTCTATTTGTGCCGATTTCTTTTAGTTTGTCAAATGATATTGCTTCTGCAGATTGGGAAGCTGGCCTTGGTGGTTCTGGTAACACTTTCGGTTCGAGGAGTACTCAAAGGTTAGCTTTCCATCTTTACGAACTCTCTACTTTTTATTTCATTGCATTGTAATATTCAAATTCTCTTTTATTGAGGAGAAGATCGAAAAGTTCTTATCATTTTATACAATAATATGACAAGTAATTTTTCAGAGAAGGATTAATGTCATAAAAGCAATTCATTCAAGAGCTTGAGGATGATATACTACCAGCAGAAGCTGAGAGGAGGTACAAATGAGAAATAACATTATCTGTTAGGTTTATCTTGTTTGAGACTTGCGGCGTAAACAAATTGGAATATTAACTATGACTTATTACTGTGAAGGCACCAAGAATACAAGTCAGAGTATATATCAACCCAAAAACGAGCATTTTTTTATGCTCACAAGGATGAGGAATGGTACATCCCATTGTTAACTAATTTCCTGCTTATCTGTTCAGCTCATTGTTCCAAGTAAAATTGCTTATGTATTTAGGTTGAAAGACAAATATCATCCAACAAACTTGGTCACTGTTATTGAAAGGTTAGTTGTACTTGTATATTTCATGATGTATCAGTTAAGGAATTTGTTTGTAAGCCAAAGGATGCCATCTGTCATGCTTTTGTTGTGTGATGTTGTTGATGGTTTTGGTGTCAATTTATCATGCTATTGTTCGATTATTTATTTATTTATGTTTTCTTTTTGGTTTTCCTTTTTAGGAGGGATGAACTTGCACGTAAAGTTGCAAAGGAGTTTTTGCTTGATCTGCACAATGGAACCTTGGACTTGTAAGATGGAACTTCATGTTCACTTACTTTAGTTTTGAATATTCAACCAGGCTCTCTGCCACTTATTTTCCAGCTGCTGACCAATACTTTATATTTGTGATGCAGAAGTCCTGGTTTCAATCCCTTGTTATCAATTAAGCCAGGCCAGGACGGTGATCCTAATTCTGAAGACGAAGCTGACATTGGTGGAAAAAGAAGGCGGCATGGTAAAGGATCTACAAAAGAGATTGATATCCTTTCCTCAGCTCCAAAGGCTCACCCAATCAGCTCTGATCCCAGAAGAATTCAGATTGACATCGAACAAGCACAGGACCTTGTATATAAACTGGATTCTGAAAAAGGAATTGAGGGAAATATATTATGGGGGTCTGATAATGACAATACAAATAGAGATAAATCTCATGGTAGTTTGACTGGTCCGGTGGTTATTATACGTGGTTCGACTTCTTTGAAAGGCCTGGAGAGTGTTGAGCTTCTTGATACTCTTATAACATACTTGTGGCATGTCCATGGCTTGGATTATTATGGAATGATTGAAACAAGTGAAGCTAAAGGTCTCAGGCACGTGAGAACAGAGGGAAAGAGTTCTGATGTTACTAATAACGAATCTGAGTGGAAAAAGAAACTTGACTCATGCTGGCAAGAGAGATTGAGGGGTCAAGATCCTTTGGAATTGATGACTGCTAAGGACAAAATAGATGCTGCGTCAGTTGAAGTTTTGGATCCTTTTGTCCGGAAGATTAGGGATGAAAAGTATGGTTGGAAGTATGGTTGTGGTGCTAAGGGTTGCACAAAGCTCTTTCATACTGCAGAGTTTGTGCACAAGCATCTTAAACTTAAGCATCCAGGGCTTGTGATGGAGCTAACGTCTAAAGTTCGTGAAGAGCTTTATTACCAGAATTACATGAAGTAAGTTGTCTTACATGCTGCTTATATTTGTTTTTCATCTTAACGATTGTGTATAAGATATGCATTGTTTCCATTCACAGTGATTCAGATGCACCTGGGGGGACACCTGTTATGCTGCAATCTCTACCTGTATGCTATAGCTGGTTTTGTTTTGATATGTGTTTCTGCTTCTATCTAACCTCATTTTCCCCTCCTTTTTATGATTTTTTTTTGGTGAAGGACAAGCCTCCAAGACGAAAAATGCTAGAAAATGGCTTAAAAGATGAACGTGGGTTACGTAGAGCGCGAGATAATCGAGAAAATATTAGTGATAGGTATGATGGGTCTGAGAATCCTCAATCGAGCAATTTTCCATCCAACAATGATGGTGCTGATGAGGGCAATCGTGATGATTCAATGTTTGATGCTTTTGGTGGTCAAGGGATGCATGTTGGAGCTCCATTTTCTTCAGATACTGCGCCTCCGCCAGTATTGATGCCTGTTCCTGGTGCTGGGTAGGTATAGTGTTGTTCTACACGTAGCTGTAATTAGCTTATTATTTTCTTGTAGTCTTATACGTGTGTAATTGCAGTCCTTTGGGGCCCTTCGTTCCAGCTCCACCTGAACTTGCAATTCAGGTGTTCAGAGAGCGAGGTGGTCCTCCTTTTGAAGGCCATTGTAGTGGTGGACGTCCTGGATCTAATGTAAGTGGACCAACCCCCTTTCTTTTGCCTCCTGGCTTCCAGCAGGATCCTCGTCACTTAAGAAGGTAAGTTCTCTTGAGACTGTTCTAAAACCATTGGAATGTATGGCAGCTATTTTACTTGTAGTGGTTAACCTTAATACTGTCTATTTGAATGCAGAATTAGACAGTTCAGTTCATGTTTCTAAAGTTTGTGATTTCATTAGTTTAAAATATATTTTAATTGTTTAGTGTTGGGATCTATCATCTGTGCTGTTCCTCCAAT